GAAGAGAAGGTAGAAGCCAAGTTTATTTTCTTAGGGCCCCTGCCAGAGCCCTGGATCCGGAACTGTCTCCAAGGACTGCTGCTTCAAGCCCTCCCTGCTCTCCCACACCCTCATCCTCCCCTCTGTGCATCCAAAGATGAGGGCCGGGCTGGTCAGCACTGTCCATGAGCCTGGGAGGCAAGGGTCCTGACCAGTGAGTGGGTTGTCCACTCCCTACTTCAGAGGAGGCCCCATACTCCCTCCTCTAGCCAGAACGGAGGGAGGGTCCTGGTGGTAAGGGGTCCCAGGGGGTCCTCAGCTTCAACAGGAAGTCCTGGGATGTAATCTGGGTCGGATGTAATTGGGGCGCCCTGCTGTAGATGTTCCTCTGGGCGTCCCACCTGGGGCCTCCGCTGCTTCACAGCCTCACCTCAGGCCTGTCCCGAGGTCCGGCCACTTAGGGCCTGACTTGCTTGGGGTCCTGGGAGAGGCAGGGGCTGAGGTGTGCAGTCTTCAGTGAGCGGGGCGCCTGGGCCGACTGGCCTCAGTCTCTCCTCTCCTCTCTGGCCGGAGGTGTTGCCCTCTGGCAGAAGAAAGGCCAGGCAGCAGAGCTGGTTCCCAGGGGAGGCCGTGCCTCCATGCAGCTCATTTCGTGGAAGTCTCCTGGGATCTGCTGACTCTCCGAGTTCCCAGGGAAATATGTTTGGAAATGCTCTTAAGAGGACAGGAGCCTAGAGTGGGTGATGGGGTCAAAGGGTGCCCTGGGGGAGGGTCAGGGGAGACCATTCCCAGGAAAGTTGGTGGGACACCCGGACCTCCTAAGCCTTGCTCGCGGACAGCTCTGGACTTCCAGGCCAGGGCATTGGTGCTTGCCCGCCCCTCACCGCAGCTGCCTGAGGGCAGATCCTGTCTGCACTGAGATGCCCCAAGTCCCCTGTCCTCCCCTCCCTCCCTGCCAGCTGTTCCCATGAGCCCCCCTTTGCCTTTGTCATAGCCTTTTGGGCCCTGGGTTGGGGTTGCCCCTCTACTTGGCTAGTCCTTCCACTTGGCTAAGTGACATGGAGGGCAGGACCTTCCCAGAGCCTGACTCAGTGCCCGGCACGTCGCGGGGCCAGACCAGTGAACGCCATGCAGGTATCCAATGAGGCAGAGTACAGCCACCCTTTGTTTGCTGTCCCATAGGAGGCTCTGGGGAGGGGCGGGGAGGAGGGTAGTGGGGCTCTGGCCACAGTGATCCATGTCTGGTCACCTTCGAGGGGAAAAGGGCAGAGGCTCTGGGACAATGGCCAACCCCTCGCTTCACACCCATCCGTCATTGATCCTGTCTCCCCATCTCCATTCTGGTACTTTCTGGGGCAGTCCTCCCTCCTTTCTCTCTCCAGTGAGCTCCTGAGGTCAGTCCTGGCCGGGAGAGGAGGGGGTGGGGCGGGAAATCCAGAGAACACGTGCACAGGGCGGGGGAAGCTGAGAGGGGCTCCTTGGGCCACTGTGAGGGAGGGAGGCTCATGCAGAGGTGGGGATCTTCTGAGGTCTGGGGAGCCCATTGGCCTCAGGAACTCCCCCTTCCTTGAGGCGGAGGCCCCTGCTGAGCAGCCAGAGCTGAGAGCACCTGTGCAGAAGCAGAGGGCCCAATGGGAGGACCAGCGCCAGCCACGCCAGGCCCAGGAGGATCCAGATGGCCGCCAGGCTCCGGTACACCGAGATGTAATGCTTGCTGGGGTCCGTGCCTGGCCGGGAAGGGAATGTGATAAATGCCAGGGATCTGAGGGCACAGCCACCCCCCGACCCCCACCCAGGGTCCATTGGGGCCCTGCCAGTCTCCCCATAACAAGGATTAGCAATGGAGGGCTCTGGGGAAAGGATATGGATTCCAGACCAGCAGCTTCTGAGGATGTGAGAATTCGCAGCAGCCTCAGAAATCATTCATCTCCAAAAAAAACAGGGGCCATCTGATCCTCCGTGGTCACCCCCGCTGACACCTCCCCACCCCCCAACCCCGGTGACCCTGACTGAGATATGTGAAGGCCTTGTTCTCACCGACAACATAGTCCCCGAAGCCGATGGTGCTGAGAGTGATGAAGGCAAAGTAGAAACCCTCACTGAAGCTCCAGCCCTCCACGTGGCTGAAGACCATGGGCGGGAAGACGAGAATGACCAGTGTCCCCAGGGTCAGGAACAGAGCCAGGCCGAGCACCTGCAGTACCTGGAGGGAGGGAGGGAGTCCATCTCTGAGTCCACTTGGGAGTCCCCAGGACTGTATGGGGGGAGAGACTGGGGAAATTTGGAATGGGACTGGGTCACAGCTCGCTCCCTTTTCTGCCCTGCAGACCTTTGGGGTGGGGCCTGGATCTCCGTGTCAGGGGAAGATCTGGTCAGAGGACTGCATTGGTGGGTCAGTTGGAATTCGGAGATTCTTCTGGGCTAGTACAGGTCCCCCAGGCCTCAGATCTGGGACAGAGGACTGTCACTGAAACGCCCCAGCTTCCTCCGCACCCTTGTCCTCCTAGTGCGCCTGGCTTTGCAAAGGACTGGCCAGTGGGGTGGGCACTGGGGCATGCTGGGTGGCCTGGAGTTTGCTGGAGTTCTGTGATGACCATGGAGGTGTGCCATGTTGACCAGCTGTCAGCAGGTGGCATCCAGCTGTCATCTCCTTCAGGATGTGTGGCAGCTACAGGGGTATAAAGTCCTGGTCATGCCCAGCTGGCATGGCTCAGTGGTTGAACATCGACCTATGAACCAGGAGGCCGTGGTTCAATTCCCAGTCAGGGCACATGCCTGGGTTGCAGGCTCCATCCCCAGTGTGGGCATGCAGGAGGCAGCCAATCAATGATTCTCTCTCATCAAGATGAGAGGACAGCACCCATGATGTTACTATTGCTCTCTCTCTCTCTCTCTCTCTCTCTCTCTCTCTCTCTCTCTCTCTCTCTCTGAAATCAATAAAAATATATTTTTTAAAAAGTCCTGATCATCTCAGCCTGCTGTGGGACAGCTCCGACAGCCCATACATGCTGCAGAGCTCTGGGAGGGGTTGGCCAAGTCTGTCCAACATGGCATCCAACCTCTCCCTCTGCCCAATCCTTTTCTTCCACCAGTGCCTACCTAATACCTGCTGTCACATTCCGTCAGCCAGTGTTGGCTTCTAGAGGATTAACCTGAAACGGATGTGTCACAGCAGGGCTGGCAGGAGGGTGGTGCCTACCTGGGAGCGTCGGGGCTGGTCCTCCCACCTCTCCAGTGTGGTCAGGTGGCCACGCAACCCTGTGCCCAGGTGGTTGAGGAAGATCACGTTGAGGGGGATGCCCACCAGGGCGTAGAAGACACAGAAGACCTGGCCTGCCTCGGTGCTGGGGGCCAGGTTCCCCTCTCCTCCCTACTTTCCTACCCTGCCTGGCGCTATTATTTTTGGTGTTTACCGTATCCCTCTTTACTGGATTGGAAGCTCCTTGAGGGCTGAGTCTGGGTCTGACCCAAGTTTGTATGAACCCCCCCCCCTCACTCCTTCCTCTGTCTCCCCTGTCACCAGAGCTCAAAGAAGGTGTTGGACCTAATTGGTCTTCATTGAATAGATGGGGTTAGTGAGGGTCCAGGGTTTCCCTGCAGGATCGGAGTGGAGTTTCTGGCTGAGGGGTGTAGCAGACACTCCCAGTGTCCTGTCCCCTTGGGACCCCTGGCACAGCACCTGCAGCCTGTACACAGTTCCTGTGCACACAGATGGCTTCCCTCCAAGTCCCTGCATCTTATACCTGAGAGATTTTTCAGCTGCAAGGGTTCCCTTGGTCCGTGGGCAGGTCCAAGTGCTGGAGAGTTAACGCATCCAGGATTCGCTCTCAGCCAGCCAGGGCAGGAGTAAGGAGACACACTGCCCTGCTTTCTCGCTCTCGCGGGGGCTGCTCTGAGGATGGGCTCCACCTCGCCTCTCAGAGGGTCTGGAGTGAGCCCAGTGGCCCTGCCCAGTAACCTGCTCACTGATGCAAACTTTATTGCCTCTCCTCCTTGTTTCACTTTCCCATGTCTCACTGGAGCTTCCTGAAATCACATCCCAGAGGAACCACATCCTAGCCTTAGCATCTGCTTTCGGGGAACCCAAACCGTGACAGGGGGAGCCCCTCTTCACCCGGCCCTTTACCTATAGTAGTGACAACCGTGCCTGCAAAGAAGAAACTGCTGCCGAAGTCCCAGTTGCTGGGGTTGGTGGAGTTGCCTTTGGGGTTCACGCCCTTCACCCAGGCTTCCATGATGACCTGTGGGATGGCAGGGAGAGGGAGTGATGGGACAGCTGGAGCCCAGAACTCAGCAGGATGCTTTTGTGGCACCTCACTTAGTGAGGTTCTCAAGATGGTCTTGCTCCCTTTGCATGGAAAGGAAGCTAACGCTCAGGGAGGCTGCACTGCCCGGGGCGGTGATGTGGGCTGGTGGAGGGGATGGGCACCAGGAGGCAGAAGATGCTTAAGGAATGGACCCGGTGGGAGATGCTGTGTGTGGCCGAGAGGGTGAGATGCCAAAGGGCTGTTAGGCCAGTGTGAAGATTTCAGGTTGGATGTTCCTGGAAGGGTTTACTTGGAAACACGGGGTATGGGGTCCATCGGGAAGGTGGGGGGTTGGAGAGAGAGAGCTGCCCTTCCAACAGGGCTGATGGTCCTTTGTACCTCCAGGTGAGCTGGTAGTCTTGCTCTCTGCTGCCCCCTAGTGAGTGCCAGCCCAGGCCTACAGGGGAAATTCCATCAGAGGTGGGCAAAGGGCACGTGTGTGTGTGTGTGTGTGTGTGTGTTTACAGAACCCGAACCCCTCCCTGCAGGTCAGGCCTGAGCCCCTTGCCTCCGGCCTAGCTCTCTCAGATAGGACGGAGCTCCCTCCCCACTCCCTTCCCCTGTAGCTATGAATTGTGCTGGGGCAGCAGCACCACCTTGCCACTTGGTAGAGCCCCAAAGGCAGGAGGGAGGAGGTGGGGGAGGGGCAGCTCTGGACTCCCGTTCCTGTGGGAACGTTTCCCTGCTGGTGGGGTGGTCCCATGAGCCAGGCCGTTAGGCGCCCTGACACAGGCTGTCTGCTTCTTCTCACTTTGGCAGAACTGGCCTCGTCGCATGTGGACTTTGGCCTCCCTGTCTTTCCCACACACCCAGACAGGCCGAGATGGAATATTCTGGAACACACCCTCTCCCTGGAGACCCTCCCTCTTGGGAACAGCACTTGTCCCTGGACTCAGCTGCCCCCCAGGCTGACGTTCTCCATCCCGTTGAGGAGGGGCCTTGAAGTCTGCGAGGGTGCCAAGTGGGGCCCTTCCGTCCTTCTCTCAGAACCCGTGGTGGAGCCGTCAGAGTCCTGCGAACCCGGACAGGGCTTCCTTCCCTGGATGCTGCCTGCAGGATTGGCAGCTTTCCCTGGTGATCTGAACCGTCATGTGCGCTCTGCAACCTCACCCCAGATCTCTGCTTTTCAGCTGGACGTCCCTCGGAAAGTGAGGTCCCCCCTGCTCTTCAGCTAGACATCCCCTGGCTCCCTCAGAGCTGCAGCCAGGCCTGTGGCTTCACCCTCTGTTTGCAGAGCTACCAACCCTTCCCACACCCTCTGGCTCCTGGGTTTCGCCTCGAACCCAGGGCTGCGGGAGCAGGAGGCTCCAGGGCCTCTCTCATAGCCCCCTTCTCCTCCCTCACACGTCCCGGAGTCTTGAGAGGCTCCCAAACCCTTTCCAGTCCTAATGTGGGTGCTGTGGCCCAGCCCTCACTGCTGGGTAGCAGGGACGTGAAGAACGGGCCTGGGCAGGTGTCTCCCAGCCCACCCAGTGTGATCACTGGTATTTCTAACAAGCTCCCGGGTGCTGTCCCAGGTGGTGCTGATGCAGCTGGTGGGGGCCACACTTGAGAACTGCTCTGTGGTGAAGAGCAGCCTGCCTGAGTGCCAGTTCTGTCTCTGCCACTAACTGCGCAACCTGGGCCAACATACGCCGCCTCTCTGTGCCGCGGTTCCCACCTACAGACTGGAGATGTGATGATGCAAGTGAATAGGAGAAAACACCCGTGAAACACCGGGCCCCGCACGGCGACCCTGTTCCCGCCGGTTAAGGCACATGGTCAATGCTCAGTGAGTGCCGCCCATCGCGGTGCTGACCTGCTTGTGTCTTTGTGGCCACGTACTCTGCCTCCTGGTCTCTAATGCGTTTCCCTTCCCCAGCAGCAAGGCCTTTTGCCTTGTTTCTTGGAGAGAGCATGTTGGGACCCAGAGTTTGTGCAGGGGAGCAGAAGGAGCCAGGTAGGGGGTGACCCCCTGCGCCATCAGCGATTGCCTCCCATGGGCATGGTGCGGGTGGGGCTCAGTCGCCCCGGCCAGTGCTCACCAAGCCCAGCGCCAGGGTCCAGGCCGGGCGGGCCAGCGTGGCGGCTGCTCCTGACCTTTCTCTGTGCCTCCCGCCTGCCGCAACCTCAGTGTGGTCAGCACAGCGGCCATGGCGTTGGGTGGAGCACAGAGTGTGGGACAAGGACATTCACACAGCACCGGTAGCACTACCGTCCGCTTTTAAGCAGCAAGTGGCAGCTTAGGAAGTGCTTCTAACCTGCTGCTGAATGTCTGCGGCACAGATGTGGTTTTCCTCTTCACCTTGTAGATGAGGAAACTTGGGCCCAGAGAGGTTGAGTGACTTGCCCAGTGTCACAGCGCTCTAGTCTCAGACCTGGACCCAGGTCTCCCCTGGCTCTGTTCCCACACCCTCTGCTTCCAAACAGGGCAGCGGTCTCCGGGGCGTGGCCCTGGACCTACCACAAGAAGCCCCATGCTGCCCACCCTCCCCGGCAGCGTCTCCCCTTCACCTGTACGAACTGCTCCAGGGCCCGCTGGTCCAGGCAGGTGTAGTTCTCCAGGAAGCGCAGCTTCTCAAACTGAAACTGGTCCCTGGACTGAGCCTCCGCCTGCCTCTCCAGCAGCTGGAAGATGGTGGCGCCGAGCAGCAGGTAGCAGATGTAGACCAGCAGCAGGGGCAGCAGGCGGCCGCCCCAGCAGCTGCAGAGCCCGGCGTGGGGCATGGCGTGGCCAGGACTCTGCCAGGGCCACGGGGCTGGCTTTGGGAGGAGCTGCGGGAAGGGCTGGGGGACCTGCACTCGGCCTCCTGCCGGCCTCGCCCTCCCAGGCACAGGTGTCCGGAGGCAGGGAGTCTGTTTGAACAGCGCGGCTCAGCTTGGATGCACTAAGTGCCATGAGTGCAAACAGGCCTGCCTCCCCCCGCCAGCCTCTTTTCCATGGAGAGCAGCAAGTGGCACGGACCCTCAGACAGACCTACCGGGTCCTGCTGCGGCCATCGTGCCTCGCCCTCTCCTGCAAGCTGGACGGGTGTTTCTGAGCCAAATCTGATGCTCTCCTCACTCTGCCCAGGCCCGAGTGGCCCCCTTGGCAGCCCCCAGCTTCTCAGCCACGACGGGTTCAAGTCCCCAAGCTTAGGAGCTGGGAAGAAATCAGATTGGGTGTGAATAAACCTTGTACTCAGTTGCCGTGGCTACCAAACGGGGCAGAATTGACCTGCCTATTGGGGGAACCGAGGATGAGTGAACTGGTGACAAATCAGGGCAAAGCAAATAGATAGCGACAGTCCCATCAGGAACAGCACGGGCCGCTGCTCCTAACACACTGGGCGCATTTGCTCCGCGGCCTTGGCTGACGGTTGTCCTTGCCTGAAGCCCTTTAGCTGGCTGCCTTCGAGGACCCCACGTTGGTGAGATATACATGTGAATAAGACGAGGCTAGAGTGTGTCCTGGCTCTGGGAGGGCAGAGTCGGGGTGTCTTCTTTGCTTATGTATGTGTGTATTTGTAATAGTTTGCTTGACATATGATTTACAGTCACAAACGTAAAGCACACAATCGAACGCTTTTTAACAATCTACTTGAGAACATTTTCACCACCTTGAAGCGAAACCCTGGACCTGTTAGCCATCAGTTCCCTCGCCCTGAAGCTGCCCCCTGAGCCTCTGCCAACTGTGAACGTATTTTCTCTATGGACTCGCCCACTCTGGACATTTCCTACAAACGCAGCCATACAGTGTGTGGCCTTTTGCGCCTGCCTTCTTCTGTTAGCTTAACGTTGTAACGTTCATCCACACTGTAGCCTGTCAGTACTTCATTCCTCTTTATGGCTGAATGATATTTCATTGTCTGGATATAACAACACTTTATCCATTTTTCAGTTGAGAGCTATTTGGGTTGTTTCGACATCTGGCGATTATGAGTAATGCTGCTGTGAATATTCACGTACACGTTTTTGTGAGTGCACACGTTTTCAATTCCTTTGGATATATTCCTAGGAATGGGATGGCTGGGCCATACGGTCACTCCATGAGGACCCACCAGGCCGTTTTCCAAGGCGGCCGCACCATGTTGCCTTCCCACGGCAGTGCTCGAGGGTTCTGGCGTCTCCGCGCGTGGTTTCTGAAATGAGCTGTGGCAGCAGACACCCTGTGTTGCCTGCCCGGCATCCTTTCCTTCCTTCCTGGCCCGCAGAACCCCACGTGGGTACGTGCCAGGCAATGGAGCGTGGCTGGTCTCGCCATCACAATTGTCCTGCTCCCTGCTTGCAGACCGGGGTCCCCAGGAGCAGCCTCGAGGGGGTTTGTGTATGAGCAGGGCAGTCAGCCAGGGCTACCTCCGCCTGGTTCCTGGGAAGCTCTGGCGGGTCAAGCGCCTCCCAGTCAGACCCAAGCGGGGCAGGGAGCTGGGCTCTCCTATTCCCATCCTGG